CACACATCAATTCTACACATGTTGTGAAAATTTCAGACCAAGGTCATTCAAGGTCAGGTCACCAGGTCACTTGAAGTGACCTCACCTCATAGTTTCAATGTCTGTCATAGCTACACCGAGTGACCGATCGCTTTGAAACTTTCAGAGATTGCTAAGAGCAATAGCATGTACAAAATGCATATTTCAGAATTTTGATATCGATGACCTAAGGTCAGGTCAATTTTGCGACCTCCCCATTATAAGTCAATGGGAGAAAATTGAAATGCGCCTCTTTTGGACGAAAGACATTATAAACACTCCCAAACACTGAATTACAAGTAATTTATACACACTGAACATGAAAATGGTGTCCATGACCCCTGTTTATGCCCTGAGGTCATCTTAGGTCACGAATGGCATCAACAGTTTTTCGCAAATTACTTTTGATAGAGGCATGCTAGAGCGATAAAAACGCCTTAGATGTGTTCAGCTCGACGATACGGATCAACTGATATGCAACATGACACTTTCCGGTCAGGTCATGACCTTGACCTGATGTCAAATTTTCAAGTTGACCTTTCAAGGTCAAGTTATAGTTCATTCGATGCGTCTTGACGAGAGGAACACGATGTCGGTAAAAGTAAGCTCGTACAAGGCTTGGGTAAAAAATCATTGCAGAAAAACTGTTTCCGAAAAAATCGGCTATTTTGCAGTTTTTGCCCCCTGCATGCAAAACCGTTGACGTTAGGTCAAATCTGAGAGAATTATTCAGAAAGGGCGTTAATAGGGCTATCGAATGCGCTTTTCCGCGGCGCTTTACCTCTATTGGTTCCCGAGTTATGCGTTGGCTTCATGGAAATTGTCGACATTCGACCTGGAAATCGGCGAAATTTTGCCTTCAATGACCTCTGGTGACCTGACCTTTGATTTGACCAAAAAATTGACCGTAGTGATTTCGTCATTATTTTTGGCGCTCTTTCGAACGCCGCCTTCCGCGTATCGCTACGTGGCCCAGGAGCCGAGTTAGAAGGGGAGGGGTGTTCAAACACCCCCCCCCCCCCAGCAGGGCGTGGAAATCCAGGACCCCCAGCCGGGCGCGGGTTAATGTAACTCACTCACTCACTCACTCACTCATTCACTCCCACTAATCCGCGCCGAGCCGGGAAGGGGCGTCTGGACCAGTCTGGACGGCCAACCCGTATTTTTTCTGAGCTGAGCGGAAAATTACCGTGCGTAGCGCCGCCAAACTTTGCCTACGTTTTCGGCCGTTCCTCTCAACAAAAGTTAGTTTTACTATCCTGTGTTAGTTAGTTTGTTAGTGTTGGTTACCCTGTGATGATCTACTCGCATCACCTTGAATTTAAAAATCAATTTTCTGTCCTTCACATACGTCTCGAAAGGGAAGGGAAATAATTAACAGCTCAAAGAACAATGGGTCTTTTATACGCGCAACGAAGGAGAATGATGGTTAACCCTACTTCCCCATTCCCACTTTAATTTAAGGACATATTTCTAACTTTTGAGGCAGTGAAACTGCCTCTCACGATTCACAGGCACGGCAGAAGTAACTCAATACAGAATGGTTCTTTCGAAATAAATATTACTTTATTTATTTGGATATGGAGATTGTTAAATGCAGACACATAAAACAGATTGGATGACCCCACATCTTACCTTGCGTACATTAGTACCAGACAGCATCTTGGACTATCAAAGTGGCCTGAACATCCAAGCTACCTGAAAAGAAAGCCTGCATGTAAGATAGCTAACAAGTCACCTGGAAAGAAAGCCTGTATGGTGAGATTTTTCTGTAAGCATTTATCTTTCTTTAGCCGCTTTTAGTAACTAAGGCAGAAAGAAGACAATCTGTATGGCCAACGGGCATGCAGCAGGTGACTCATAATTTTTGTTGCCACTGCAATTTTCCAACAACGAATTGAATTAAAAGGTCAAGAAAAATAGACTTTCAAACAAGGTATTAACGGTTCCTAGTACAATGCACTCTAGAGCTGGCCTTTACTCCTCACTTGAAAACCTTACATTGTTGACCTTCTCAACAACACACTTAGGTATATAGGTACCATTATATTTTATGAGGCAACTGGCATTATGCCTTCAATCGCTACATTTAAATGGCTGAGATGTGTGCAATTTGCAGTGTTATACACAAATGATGCTAAAAGGTCAGTTGTATGGTTGAGTACGGCATGTTGGGCAACTTAAAAAATAAAAAAAACTGGGCAAAGGACACCGCTGTATACAGTATACACCCTTAAACCATATTCCGGGCGGGCTCTGAAAGGTAAGATTCCGGGCAGGCAGGGCAGGCTTATCAGCCCCCCGTTATTTCTCGAAAACCACGCATCGACGCAGCAAACGGCGTTTGATAGGTCGGTCAAAGAGCTACAACTTTTAAATAAAAATGCGTCAGGTCAATATTGAGGTCACCAGAGGTCATAAAAATAAAATGTTATTGAAATAGTAACCTAAGTATAGTAGATAAAACTTTTGAATAAAGACATAAAATTGACACCATTGTGCTTCTCTTGTCGAGGCGATTCGAAACAAATACTTGATGACCTTCATTAAGGCCAATTTAAAACTTGACCTCTGGTGGGGGAGAGGTCATGACCCAATAGGGGCGGGGTTGATACGTCACGTTGTATAGCAAACGACGCGTGACTTGGCAAGGCAAGCAGTTTGGTGCCACTTACATGTCTTTAGCGCCAATTTATCATGGTTTATTGACAAGCAACTATTGATGACCTCGCACGAACTCAGATGACCTTTTCCTGTCTCTGTCAGTAAATGATACCTGGATCGTCATAGATGATTCAATATGTCAAAATCCTGAAAGACTTGAGTGGTTTTGACTCGTTTCCACAAAGCGGTGCGCATTTCAAATTTATCCATAGGCTTGTAATGTAAAGATAATGAATCTGACCTGACCTTACCTCAGGTCATAGATATACAAATTCTGAGATATACAAAATGGACATAACGGTAGGTCATTGGGGGACCCACCCATAAGTTAAGGTCATAAGGCCAAAGTGGGTCTTAATTTCATTAAAGGTGACCCATAAGATAACAAAATGCTAAAACTGAGCTGAAAACCATTTGGGATTGAGAGACTCTTCAAGCTTTGGCCTATTGACAATACACTAAGAGGTCATGACCATAAAATGTCTTTGAATGACCTAGTTAGGCGCGGGAACCGGGGGGGCTAGCGGGGGCTGAGCCCCTCCAACTTTTCGGCTGGGGGGCTCATTATGTATTTGAGCCCCCCCCCCTCCTCACAGCTGGAGGAATCAAAATCGGAAATCTACCAACATAATTTCATAGATTCATACAGAGGCACAGGAACCGGGGGAGGGGGCAGTGAGGGAAGCTTGCCCCCACAACTCTGGGGCCGTGGGAGCAGTGCCCCACAACTTTTCATGAGACCAGGAACTATTAGGGCAGCTTGTCCTCCCCAAATTAGGGGTAAAGTTAGAAGGGCTCAGCCCCCGCTAGCCCCCGGTTCCCGCGCCCGGCGCCACTGCCCAAAACCTACACTTATAAACATGGTGTTTTCCCCTAAACTGGATTCAGATTGGGATCCTGAACACAAGTACATACTTCAAACAGGTTAGTGCACAATGTAGGGCAGCCCTGCATTTTGTTGAATTGATCCGGAGCCAGAGTACCTACATCATTAATTGACCCCGAGGCCTGAGATCTTGTAAAGAAATAGCAAGTAGCGGCTAGCCACATTTCAAGGGTAGTCGTAAAGCAGGCGTAACACTTCTTTTAGCAACCAAGGAGAGGTGCTGTAGGTTAGGTTGTAGGTTGTAGGTTTTAGGTGGTAGGTTTTAGGTTTTAGGTTGTAGGTTTTAGGTTGTAGGTTTTAGGTTGTAGGTTTTAGGTTGTAGGTTGTACTGGTTAGGTCAGGTTTGGTTAGGTTTGGTTAGGTCTATTTTGGTTTGGTTTGATTAGAAAGCATCTCTGGGTATAGTGACCATCCGGCCCCGCTCCTTGGTTGCAAAAAGAAGTTGAAGTGTGACGCCTGCAAGTCCGGCCCAAACAATCGCATGGCAAATCGGTACTCTGCAATACCAGTATCCAACAAATAGATGTCTACAAATAATTTCCACTTACCTCACAGACTTCAAAAAGCTCCCAGCACAAAAAAAAAACACAAATTAGTACCACCCAAAGCTTTATCTCTTCCAAATCCCAACACTGACACCGCCACGTGGTGAGCCGTGCCGCGCCGATAACACCGCAACAAAAAACAGTGTTGTTGCAACTACACAAAACTTCATCATACTCTAATTCACGGGTTTCTAAGATACATAATATAATTAATTTATTTTTACACTTTTTTAAAAATAAAACAAACGTCTATTTTGATCGCTTCACATTCCACAGACCACACTATAAATCATATCATGTTACGTTTTTGCTGCATGCCCGCGCTAGCCCGCGCTGATCAAGGCGTGCGTTTCCGAGCTTCAACACAGAGCCAGCCGATGGTGGCGCCGTCTGTGGCAGATATTGGAACTACGAACCATCAAATTTTTTAGTTTAGAGATAGATGGCGCCTAAGGTGGACAATTTTTGAGTCCACCGAAACAGACTTGTTCTTTCGGATACGTTTACGTCCAGCTAAAAGGTGTTCTGTGCGTTTATTTTTACGTGGACTTTTTGGGTCCACCAAAACAGAATGTCCACAGTAAATCAGAAAAAAATCTTGAAAAGTCCACCTAAACCAGAATTTGGAAAGCATTCTGAAATTAAGGATGTAGACTTAGGCGAGTTATTGAAGTGAGTAACTTCGCTCCTAATCACGAAAAAGGTTTAATCGTGCCAGAAGTAAGCCCGTAATCCTTAGGAAACGTTCTCTCTCACTATGTTCTCATCAGCCGTTTACTCGAAGTATGTCATGACATGCTACTAGTAAAATGATGTGTCGGCCTTTGCGAGAAGTGACATGAACTTGATCATTTTTTTTTTCTCCCGAACGAGCCGTACTTTGCTCTTCAGTTCAACCTTCCGTTGCTTCCATTATCAGCAGTCAGGCGTCCGTGCAGAAGTTGCTCACCTTCTCTGTTGGGCGCTCTGCACACCTTGGTGGCCAGGTGACGGGGTCCCTCGACCAGTCCCGGCTGACAGGGTTCATCTACCGGTACCTCCTCCTCGCCGGGCGCCAGTTCCAGGCCGCACTGGCAATAGACGCAGTTCTCGCGGGAGGAGAAGCGGACCGTACCGCAGTCGGCCGGACACGGCTTGCCGCCGCACACCTTCACGTCGCCCTTCGCTGCGGGGCGGGGCAGAGGTGAGTGACAGAAGGGAAGAAATGATGACATCGGCTAGTGGAATGGAAACTCCCCAACATTTTGTATATAGGTAACTCTTTGGCTATTTTTCCAAAGATAGAATTAATAAGAATATAATAAAGTCACAAAGGAAAAAACGAAACATAACGTGAGTGTGAAACGGTTAGAAAGGGAGACGTAATAAGTGCAGGTTGGGAGAGAAAACACCGCAACGGTGGCCTGAGAGGAAACATCGCTTGCACCTAACAAACCAATGTATGCAATGATGGAGGAAATGGAGCATACACTGTACACTCACGCAGTGTATCGATGGGTCCACAGGCCTTGAAGAAGGCACCCGACTCCCTGAAGTCGGTACCGGGAGGGCAGGGCTCCTCGAACCCAACGTGGGTGTCTCCCGGCTCCCCCACGCCGCATTTGCACTCGAAGCAGTCCCTGCCGGCGTTGTAAGTCCTTCCGCAGTCTTGAGGGCACTCCGGCAGTCCTCCGTCACATGTCAGTGTGGACGCTAAAAAGAAAAGAATACGCTGAGCCATAGACCTCTGTACACCGTATGACCTCTGTATGCGGTGTACAGAGGTCTATGGCTGAGCGTGCGACTGTGCGTATTGCGCAAGTGCGTCAATTTGAAATGAAATTGACTTGCAAGCAAGCGGTGTTTATAATTTCATCAGCTTATATGCTCATCAAATTTGAGCGATATAAGCTTCGTATCAACATACTGTTGGCACGAAATTCAGTCGCTCACCAGAAGGCTCTCGTTTGCACTCCTGTGACGCCGATTTCGGTTTTAAGCGCAATCACGTGACACACCCCAGTCACGTGACCTAGAGGTGCGCTTTCAATAGACAGAGTGCGCTTATATCGAACCGAGAGTTGTACGCAATTAAAGACAATAAACGTGCTCAGTTTAACCTGCTCTCTTCAATAAAGCGAGATAAATGTTTCATAATTCTTCGGTACCAACGATATTGCCAATCCATCAAACATTGTAGTCAGGAGACGATTTGGCATTCGACACTTTTTCGAATTAATTCGGCGTTAGAATTGCACATATTTTAACAAATTGCGCTTTACAACAACAGTCGACTGAGCCGTCCGAGCGCACCCATTCCATCTGCGCCGGCAGGCGACAGAAACCGCCAGTGGCGGAATCAGGGAGGAAGGGGGGGGGGGGGGGTAAGAAAGTGGGGAAGAAGTAGCAAATGGCTTGTGGCGTCCGAAGCTCAATAAGAGCCTAGGTACTCAACCGGAGCCGGAGCCGTCCACAAATCTACGGCTGCATATCTTCTTTGAATTGGGCTGCCTAATCGTAGGCTATGACTTCATTGGTGGTTGATTTATTTCAACCGAATGTCATAGTCATGAGCTGCTGATCGCATGTCTCTGGTCCATCTGCATTCTGTAGTTACTATCATGAAATACTCGGGAAACTTTGCCCTATTATAGATACTGTGGCTGTTGACGGCGTTCGAGTGTGAAACCAAAGGCGTTAATGACGTAGAGGAACTTCAGTGAAAATGTCTCCCAATTACTCCAGTGACCTTGACTCCAGGGTGGTGTTTCACAGCAGATCGCTGAGTGCGCTGCGCGCGTCGGCGCGTTGGGTTTCCATGGCAATATCAACAAACTTCACTCTGACGCTAAGCTATGACGTCATCGCAAAACGCTAGCGCGCCGCTCCGCCAGCACGCTAGCAGCACTCGCACTCAAACCTCTGTTCTCTTTGTACTTGGTTCCTTAGGACCTCTGTTCCAAACGCGATTCATCATAAGCTAACAGATCGCTCGCAACGTCATTCGAGTGACGTCAGGGGTATGCCTTAGCTCCCAGCGCGCGCAGCGTCGGGCGGTGAGACAGGGGCCAGGGCCCAGGACAATATTCATTAATCGGTTTATCGTCCAAGGCCGTATATTAGGGGGTTAACTCGTCAGTAGGTTTGTTTACATTTGCTCAGCTGACGAAATGACGTCAATGGTCGTCCGCCCCGCAAGGATCAGACGGCCGCACACAGTAGGTAGGTACATAACGCGGGCACAGGCAACAATCTCATCGACCTTATCTTGATAGAAAACACAACAGTAAAACGCTCTAAACAGGGGCGCAGCCAAGGGGGGGGACACACTGGGCTTTAGCCCCCCCCCCCCCCAAATCTAGTAGGCGCCCTCACTGGATGGCGCCTTCCACGATCATTTCGGGGCGCCGAAGGCGCCTTTCTAATGTCCAGCACTCTAGGCGCCCTCGACGGTTAGCCATTGCGGTACACCATGCGGCACTGGCGCCCAGGTTTACAATTTTATATCTCTTTGTGGGTGAAGATGCACCCACAATCCTGAACTGCCAGACATCCACCCCCAATCTCCTGACCATCTAGCACCCTGGCATCATCTTCAGCGCCCTTCTGTCTGTTCGGCGCCTTTCTGATCTGTCGGCGCCCTTCTCGCCATTCAGCGCTCTTATGGCCTGCCGGCGCCCTTTTCACATTCGGCGCCCTCTGGGCTGACCAGTCGGCGCCTTCATGGTCCTTACCACACAGCATCCTCCTGATCTTTCTGCGCCCTCCACACTTGCCGGCGCCCTCCTGACCTGTCAGCGCCCTCCTTATCGTATTATAGCGCCCTCCTCACCGTACAGCGCCCTTATGGGCCCATCGATAGCGCTTCGGCGATACCTATCACCTAGAGGCTGCAATGGGGCCCTTAGAGTACGGTGTCAGACCCCCCAGAGGCCGGTGTTCGACCCAAGGGTCAGCGAAGGGCATCAAAGGGAAAAGGCCTAAGGTAGGGCCCCAGAGGCTGATGTGGGCCTTCAGAGGCAAGTGCGTGACGCCCAAAGGTAAGGCTTGAGCCCCCCAGAGAACATAATAGGGCCATCAGTGGCCGGTGTAGAGACCTCATAGGCCAGTTTGGGGCCCCTCAGAGGCTAGTGTGGGGCCTCAGGTGTCGGTATGAGGCACTTAAAGACCGTTATGGGTCCTCAGAAGCCGGCATCGATCCTTCAGAAGCCAGTACGGGGCCCTCAGAGGCACATAAGGGTCAGTTTGGGTCCCAAAGACAGAAATGGGAGTTGGGACCATCAGAGGCCGGTGTAGAGGCCTTTAGAGGATGGTTTGGGTCCTTAGGGGCAAAATTAGGGCCCTCAGAGACCAGTACAGGACCTGCAAAGGGCAGTTTGAGACCATCAGAAACCGAATTGGGCACTCAGGTCTCAGAGGCTAATGTGGGTCCTTACAGGCCAGCATGGGGCCCTCAGAGGTTAGCGTGGGGCCCTATAAGACCAACATGGGCCGGCGTTGGGCCCCAGAGGCCATTAGAGGGCCCTCAAAGGCTAAGATGGGCCCTCAGAGGCCGATGCGGGCCCTTAGAGGCCGGCATCAGGTCTTCAGAAGCCCGTGCGGGGCCCTCAGAGGCTAAGGTGGGTCCTTACAGGCCAGCACGGGCCATCAGAGGTCAGTGTGGGGCCCTAAAAGACCGGCATGGGCCGGCGTTGGACCCCAGAGGCCAACAGAAGGCCCTCAAAGGCCAAGATGAGCCCTCAGAAGCCGATGCTGACCCTTAGAGGTCGGCATCGGGTCTTCAGAATCCAGTGCGGGGGGCCCTCAGAGGCTAATGTGGGCCCATACAGACCGGCATGGGGCCCTCAAAGGTCAGAATGGGACCCTAAAAGACTGGCATTGGCCGGCGTTGGAACCCAGAGGCTAGCAGAGGGCCCTCAAAGGCCAAGATGGGCCCTCAGAGGCCGATGCGGACCCTTAGAGGCCGGCATGGGGTCTTCAGAATCCAGTGCGGGGCCCATAGAGGCTAATGTGTGTCCTTTTAGGCCAGCATGGGGTCCTCAGAGGTCAGTGTGCGACCCTAAAAGACCGGCATGGGCCGGCGTTGGACCCCAGAGGCCAGCGGAGGGCCCTCAAAGGCCAAGATGGGCCCTCAGACGCCGATGCGGGCCCTGAGCGGCCGGCATTGGGTCTTCAGAATCCAGTGCAGGGGCCCTCAGAGGCTAATGTGGGTCCTTACAGGCCAGCATGGGGCCCTTAGAGGTCAGTGTGGGGCCCTTAAAGGCCGGCATGGGCCGGCGTTGGACCCCAGAGACCAGCAGAGGGCCCTCAAAGGCCAAAATGGGCCCCCAGAGGCCGATGCGGGCTCTTAGAGGCCGGCATCAGGTCTTCAGAAGCCCGTGCGGGGCCCTAAGAGGCTAAGGTGGGTCCTTACAGGCCAGCACGGGCCATCAGAGGTCAGTGTGGGGCCCTTAAAGACCGGCATGGGCCGGCGTTGGACCCCAGAGGCCAACAGAAGGCTCTCAAAGGCCAAGATAGGCCCTCAGAAGCCGATGCGGGCTCTTAGAGGCCGGCATCAGGTCTTCAGAATCCAGTGCGGGGGGCCCTCAGAGGCTAATGTAGGCCCATACAGACCGGCATGGGGCCCTCAAAGGTCAGAATGGGACCCTAAAAGACTGGCATTGGCCGGCGTTGGAACCCAGAGGCCAACAGAAGGCCCTCAAAGGCCAAGATGGGCCCTCAGAAGCCGATGCTGGCCCTTAGAGGCCGGCATGGGGTCTTCAGAATCCAGTGCGGGGCCCTCAGAGGCACATAAGGGTCAGTTTGGGTCCCAAAGACAGAAATGGGAGTTGGGACCCTCAGAGGCCGGTGTGGGACCTTTAGAGGCTGGTTTGGGTCCTTAGGGGCAAAATTAGGGCCCTCAGAGACCAGTACAGGACCTGCAAAGGGCAGTTTGAGACCATCAGAAACCGAATTGGGCACTCAGAGGCTAATGTGGGTCCTTACAGGCCAGCACGGGCCCTCAGAGGTTAGCGTGGGGCCCTAAAAGACCAACATGGGCCGGCGTTGGGCCCCAGAGGCCATTAGAGGGCCCTCAAAGGCTAAGATGGGCCCTCAGAGGCCGATGTGGGCCCTTAGAGGCCGGCATCAGGTCTTCAGAAGCCCGTGCGGGGCCCTCAGAGGCTAAGGTGGGTCCTTACAGGCCAGCACGGGCCATCAGAGGTCAGTGTGGGGCCCTAAAAGACCGGCATGGGCCGGCGTTGGACCCCAGAGGCCAACAGAAGGCCCTCAAAGGCCAAGATGGGCCCTCAGAAGCCGATGCTGACCCTGAGAGGTCGGCATCGGGTCTTCAGAATCCAGTGCGGGGGGCCCTCAGAGGCTAATGTGAGCCCATACAGACCGGCATGGGCCCTCAAAGGTCAGAATGGGACCCTAAAAGACTGGCATTGGCCGGCGTTGGAACCCAGAGGCTAGCAGAGGGCCCTCAAAGGCCAAGATGGGCCCTCAGAGGCCGATGCGGACCCTTAGAGGCCGGCATGGGGTCCTCAGAATCCAGTGCGGGGCCCATAGAGGCTTATGTGTGTCCTTTCAGGCCAGCATGGGGTCCTCAGAGGTCAGTGTGGGACCCTAAAAGACCGGCATGGGCCGGCGTTGGACCCCAGAGGCCAGCGGAGGGCCCTCAAAGGCCAAGATGGGCCCTCAGACGCCGATGCGGGCCCTGAGCGGCCGGCATTGGGTCTTCAGAATCCAGTGAAGGGGCCCTCAGAGGCTAATGTGGGTCCTTGCAAGCCAGCATGGGGCCCTTAGAGGTCAGTGTGGGGCCCTTAAAGGCCGGCATGGGCCGGCGTTGGGCCCCAGAGGCCATTAGAGGGCCCTCAAAGGCTAAGATGGGCCCTCAGAGGCCGATGCGGGCCCTTAGAGGCCGGCATCAGGTCTTCAGAAGCCCGTGCGGGGCCCTCAGAGGCTAAGGTGGGTCCTTACAGGCCAGCACGGGCCATCAGAGGTCAGTGTGGGGCCCTAAAAGACCGGCATGGGCCGGCGTTGGACCCCAGAGGCCAACAGAAGGCCCTCAAAGGCCAAGATGGGCCCTCAGAAGCCGATGCTGACCCTTAGAGGTCGGCATCGGGTCTTGAGAATCCAGTGCGGGGGGCCGTCAGAGGCTAATGTGGGCCCATGCAGACCGGCATGGGGCCCTCAAAGGTCAGAATGGGACCCTAAAAGACTGGCATTGGCCGGCGTTGGAACCCAGAGGCTAGCAGAGGGCCCTCAAAGGCCAAGATGGGCCCTCAGAGGCCGATGCGGACCCTTAGAGGCCGGCATGGGGTCTTCAGAATCCAGTGCGGGGCCCATAGAGGCTAATGTGTGTCCTTTCAGGCCAGCATGGGGTCCTCAGAGGTCAGTGTGGGGCCCTAAAAGACCGGCATGGGCCGGCGTTGGACCCCAGAGGCCAGCGGAGGGCCCTCAAAGGCCAAGATGGGTCCTCAGACGCCGATGCGGGCCCTGAGCGGCCGGCATTGGGTCTTCAGAATCCAGTGCAGGGGCCCTCAGAGGCTAATGTGGGTCCTTACAGGCCAACATGGGGCCCTTAGAGGTCAGTGTGGGGCCCTTAAAGGCCGGCATGGGCCGGCGTTGGACCCCAGAGACCAGCAGAGGGCCCTCAAAGGCCAAAATGGGCCCCCAGAGGCCGATGCGGGCTCTTAGAGGCCGGCATCAGGTCTTCAGAAGCCCGTGCGGGGCCCTCAGAGGCTAAGGTGGGTCCTTACAGGCCAGCACGGGCCATCAGATGTCAGTGTGGGGTCCTAAAAGACCGGCATGGGCCGGCGTTGGACCCCAGAGGCCAACAGAAGGCTCTCAAAGGCCAAGATAGGCCCTCAGAAGCCGATGCGGGCTCTTAGAGGCCGGCATCAGGTCTTCAGAATCCAGTGCGGGGGCCCTCAGAGGCTAATGTAGGCCCATACAGACCGGCATGGGGCCCTCAAAGGTCAGAATGGGACCCTAAAAGACTGGCATTGGCCGGCGTTGGAACCCAGAGGCCAACAGAAGGCCCTCAAAGGCCAAGATGGGCCCTCAGAAGCCGATGCTGACCCTTAGAGGCCGGCATGGGGTCTTCAGAATCCAGTGCGGGGCCCATAGAGGCTAATGTGGGTCCTTTCAGGCCAGCATGAGCCCTCAGAGGTCAGTGTGGGGCCCTTAAAGGCCGGCATGGGCCGGCGTTGGACCCCAGAGACCAGCGGAGGGCCCTCAAAGGCCAAAATGGGCCCCTAGAGGCCGATGCGGGCTCTTAGAGGCCGACATCGGGTCTTCAGAATCCAGTGCGGGGCCCTCAGAGGCACTTAAAGGCTAGTCTTGGGACTAGAGAGACAGAAATGAGGCCACCAGAGGCCGGCGTGAGGCTATCAGACGCCGGATGGGCCCCTGAGGCCGGTTTAGGGGCCCTTAAAGGCCAGTGGAGGGCCCTCAGAGGTCAATGTGGGTCCTCAGCGGTCAATGTGGACGCTTGACCGCCACTGAAGGGCTCTCAGAGGTCAGTGTAGGACCCTCAAAGACTGGTATAGGAGCTGTTAATAGCTGGCGTGGGTTTCTCGAGCCTCGTGACAATCGAATACGGGCCAGGGCCCCATACGGCCATGGGGGCCCATCGGTTGTTTGGGGGGGGGGCAAATGATATGATGCCCCCCTGATTTGCCTTTTGGGGGGCATGGCCCTGATGCCCCCCCCCCCTGCGACCGCCACTGGAGCCGTCCGCCTTGCATACACCTATGCATTCATATCTCGGCCAACACCGACCAGCTGAGCGCCACACGGACACATTTGGCAGCACATACACCAGTGCGAAGGAAATCCCCTCCGCTAATACTTTACGCATAACAGGCCTAATGAAGAGGGGTTCCGCGCAAGCAACAGGTAAGTATGCGCATAGAGTAAATACAACAAAACTGGTCGTTAACATCTAAACATGCTAAAGTATAGCATAAAAGGCATTAAATCCACAAAACCAGTGGCTGAAGCCGCCTCTGTCAAGTAAATTGTGCCGTCAAGTGTAAGTGCAATGCGCCCAAATCAAACATAAAAGTGTCTGGAAAGGGCGCATATGCGCTCGGATCATACTGCAGAGCGTCGTAAAATGGCGCAGTGCGCTTTTATCTGACTCGGTAGTGTCGTTTTTAGGCTAAGTGTCTGATAATTGCGCCTGAAGTCGACTCGGGAAGATTATTCAAACAGGTATTTCGAGAAAAATACAGTGTTAAAAGCAAAAAAAAAGCTGTTGGAATGCGTTTTGCAAACACACCTATCAATTAAAAGTGTTTGGGTCACCTTCAGGTCATTATTTAAAAAAAAACTTGTTCACCGAATTCCAGCTCAACATCTAGGTAAGGTATACGACACCCACTCCGTCTTCGCGGCAAAATCCTTCATCTGAAAATTCAAGTACATATGGTTGTGAGTGTGATGTACCAAATGTATGCATTATGCATCAGAAATGACGAGCGAGAAAATCTCTTTCAAATGAGCATCATTTTTTAAAGATTGGTTACGAAATAAACGAATGAGAACAGAAAAACGGAAAGTGCTCGACCACTCAGGGTCCAACAGGACTGTTGAATACAGGCGCAATTTACCCACGATTTGTCGCGAATGAGCGCAGTTTTACCGCATCGTTCTGCATCGCGTTTTTCTCATTTGTGGCGGAATCAAACAGTGTCCTGATACTATCACATATTCCGGGGGGCTAAATTTACCTCTTTTCATTGCAGCGAGCTTCCTAGAATGCATAACTTTGAAGATTTTGCGACATGAAAGAAATGTCGTATTTCAGCGCAGTTTGAGTGTGCAATTTGCGGCAACTGTCGCTTTTAAGCGCTGTCGTTTTATTTTGCGCAAAGTCGAATTCGAGCGCAAAAAAGTCGAATGAGGGTTGAATCGCATTCCCGGCGTGCAAGCCGGCTCTCCATCGTTTGTGCACACACACCGGCTACAGCCGTCGTGCTGCACACTCCACTCCGAGCCCGGCTGGCAGCCTGTGAAAAACAGCGAGGGTGAAGCCCGGGAAGTTAGACGGGATTGTGACTAGCATTAAACGGAACACTGGCCTGGCATATTTACTATTTAGGAAGCGCACGCGAGATGCAAGACGTCGCTCCAACTTTTATCCATATGAAACAAGACACAAATACCGACGGATGAAAAGATGAGAAGGAACACGCTTGGCAAGAGAGGACAAGTTAATTCAATTAAAAATGCATCCTAATTCTCTTGAGATCCAAGCATTGGTGATTGAAGAAGTCATGGCTGGTTTTGGAATGGAGTTTGTCGCGGTTTCGTAGCGTCACTCGTCGCTCACCCTGTCCGAGGCAGACTTTGGTGGCGAACTGGCTCGGTCCCTCGGCCAGTCCGGGCGGACAGGGGGCGTCGATGGCCACCTGGACGTCACCGAACTGCAGCTGCGGCCCGCACTGGCAGCGGTAGCAGCCGGAGGCGGCGTCCAACACCTCGCCACAGTCGGCCGGACACGGACCAGAACAGTACTGGCGGCCCTCGCGGCCACCGCCCGGAACAGCTAAACAAGCAAGCACACCGACAGCCGGAGAGATGAGAATCGGAAACAATACACTCCCATTTGGACCGCTAAATTGAGGAGTTATCGCGACAATGCGAATGTTTTTTGGATGATAGCGCATTTGGATGGTCAGGTATAAAGCATTATTACAGTATTGTCGTAGTAAATCAGAGGCTTGGCAAGCGGTGCATCAACGATATTAACACATTTACTCGCACCTGGTGAGCAGGTTTTGGTGGCGAACTGGTGCTCCTTGGTGGTGAAGCCGGGCGGACACGGCTCGTCAATGGCCACAGTGATGTCGCCCTCCTCTAGGCGCGGCCCGCACTGACAGTACTGGCAGTAGCTGTCGGAGCCGGCCGTGCCGCAGTCGGCCGGACAGCCCCGCAGCTGGCTGTCACACACCTGCACGTCGCCGTACTCTGCAGAAGAAAATTAGGCCTTTGCTGTTTTGATATGCACTCTTCAACATGCTTTAGCACTCTGGTCAAGAGCTATCGTAGTTCAGGCTTTCGGCTTCATCTAGTGGTGAACGCTTGATGATTGATATAAGCTTATATTTATGATTCATAAAGGAAATATTTGAGAGAGCAACGTGTGCTTAGTAGGACAAATAACATTCTGGTATAAGACATATGTTTCGCGGTGTGAACTGTGAAAATGAAGATCGCGCTATATGCTAATTAGCATTAGTTTTTTAGTGACTCTAATTTTACAGCGAGACATTCGATACTCACCTGGAAGGGTACAGTCCCGCAAAGTGCACGTGGGGACACCACTATCTTGGCAGATGCAAATGTCGCACTTGATGTTATATGTGGTATTTGGTACACATTCTGAAAAAGCATGAGAAGAGACAATTGACTCCAAATGAACATCTTTCATTCCAACGGCAGAAAGATATCACCCGACGGGAAGACTGGCTTATTACATTGGCAGCGCGTTGCCGAGGCTCGAAATGCCAGGTAGGTGTTTTAGGTTGTTTTATGCAGCCGGGTTCGACTCCCGAGGTTCCTCAGTACGAGTTGGCATTCGTCGGGAAAGCGGTACTCGGTGTTGATCCAGTTTTCCCAACAGACGATTTGTTTCAGCTGCGTAACAAGATGTCAAAGAGGAAACAAGTAACAAAGCTCAGCCGCAACCCTCGCTTCCCGTCTCAATGACTCAGAATATGAGCATCAGCAGTGCAGTGGCGACTGAAGTCCAGCTGATGCCAACTACTAACTGGATGTGTCCAACGTCAGCACGATTTATCTTGCAAAGATTTAGCGAAGCTGGTTGAAAACTTCCAGTGACCAATTCATCCGATGCATAAATATTATGTCTGCAGAGGAATTAGCAGAATATCAGCGCAAAAGACAGAGGGATTTAGATACAATCACATCCATGAGACTAAACCGCAAACTAGCAGATGAATCCCGAATCCCGATCACAACCAGGAGTGCTTTCCATAGAATATTTTGCGGGTAAAAATATGCCGGACCGGTTTTCGGCAGCGGCTCACCTTCCCTGGTGGGGGCCCGGCAGACCTTGGTGGTCAGCTGGGTGGGACCGGGCAGCGTGTCCGGGGGACACTGCTGGTAAATAGGCACCACCGTGTCCCCCGGAGCCAGCTCGGGGCCGCACTGGCAGTAGGCGCAGTTCTCCTGGGTGGAGACGCGCACCGTGCCGCAGTCGGCCGGACACTCGAGGCTGTCGCAGATCTTCGTGTCGCCCTTTGCTGCAACATTTACAAACAAACATGGCAAGGTTATTTGCAGCAGCAATGCCCACCATCTCTGAGATAGGTGATGCGGGGTTTTCCCAGGGCTATTGTCTGATAAACCGGTCGACGCTTGCCAGTTGAGCAATCGCCAATTTATTGCAATACACATATAATCCTAAAAGAGATGTGGTTCCAGTACCTACTATTCGCAATGCCCTGTTACATAATACATAACTGTTTCCAGAGTATGATTACACCATCCTAAAACATGCTCATCGCTAATTCATGAAAGGAAGCAACAAACTACCAGGCTATCATAAACAAGAAATGAGCATTCAAAAGATTGTCTCGATCATTGAAAGCACGGAAGTTATCAAGGTATTCTGGAAGCAGTACATACAACATTCATATACAAGCATACCAGTATGAGAGACTCACGTAGCGTGTCGATGGGTCCACAGGCCTTGAAGAAAGCGCCCGACTCCCTGAAGTCGGTACCGGGAGGACAGGGCTCCTCGAACGCAACGTGGGTGTCTCCCGGCTCTCCTACGCCACATGGACAGTCGAAGCAATCCTTGATTTTGTTGTACTTGGTGCCACAATCTTGAGGACATTCCGGCAGACCACCGTCGCATGTCAGGGTAAGTGCTGCAAAACATTCATCGCCAGCGTCAAAAATCGCTTCGCAGACTTCGTCATATTTGAGTTGCATTTCACAAAACACTGTTGAAGGATGTTAGATACATAGATGCGATTACCGGACTCATGGAGTTTATTATAAAAATAATAACTGTATACTTCCCCAGCCGATGAATAGCAAATCATACGCATATTGCATGCATAACCATTTGTAACACTGCTTGTATTCATTAGTAGATGCTCATTCTTTTCATTAGTTTTGTTCAAGCGAACCGAACCATCTATTTGTGCTCGACAGCCGATGGTATATAGTTATGTTGCACGACTAACCTACATACTCACGTGTTGGGTCTCGCTGGCACGGGGTGCAGGCCGGCTCGCCGTCCTGAGTGCAGATGCACAGACTGCAACCGCCTCCGAGGGCGTTCCAAGGACCCGAGCCGGGCGTGCAGCCTGTAAATAAGGTCGCATTTGTGTTGCGGTAGGATGCGGTTAGCTGAGTCGATTTTCAATCTTTGTAGGTTTTTTTTAGCTCAGGGAAGAGTCAATTTTGTTTGGATGGTCATCGCCTTAACGAATGGAATATTACGACGTTGGCGGGTGATTATACAGATGTGACGAAAGCAACATATTATTGAACATCCGGGCGACAAACAAGCAAGTTGAGGAGAAAAGATACATGACGTTGTCATTGTGCCCCTTACTTGCATTTCTGATTTTCAAATTTGTGTACACACCTTGTCCACGGCAGATTTTCGTGGCGAACAGCGTGGGTCCCTGCTGAAGGCCGCTGGGACACGGCTCGTCCACGGCCACCACCACGTCCCCGAACTCGAGGTCCGGGAGGCAGCGGCAGCGCACGCACTGAGCGGCCGCGTCCAGCTCCTCCCCACAGTCGGCCGGGCACGGGCCGTCGCAGTACCGCTTGACAGGGATGTCGGGAACGTCGCCACCGCCGCCACCCAGGATCGCTGACGAATATCGGTGACGAGGTCACTGAGGGTCTTCTGAGATGGTTCTTCGACCCACATACAGTTGCAGACCGCGACAAATTTTAAACACAGTGTCTATAAAAAGAAACGCCACAGCCGTTGGCTACCGTGGTTGAGTAACACGCATCTGACTCAAGGTCGTATAAGGGACCAAAAAGCGTCGTTTATAAAAGCGCCCACGTCACATTTGCATGTGCTCCCAGAGATCTGCCGATCTCTCTCTCTCTCTCTCTCTCTCTCTCTCTCTCTCTCTCTCTCTCTCTCTCTCTCTCTCTCTCTCTCTCTCTCTCTCTCTCTCTCTCTCTCTCTCTCTCTCTCTCTCTCTCTCTCTCTCTCTCTCTCTCTCTCTCTCTCTCTCTCTCTCTCTCTCTCTCTCTCAATTTCCTACGTTTTCCGTGCTGACAGTCGGTCTTGCCCTGGCAGTGGAAAGGACCCTGGTCTCCACTCTGGCAGTCTTCGTTGGTGCACGTTATCTGCCCGGTGGCTACGCAGGTACAGGTGTTGCAGGCCTCTTGCCAGGAAGACCCCGGAGTACATTGGGAATTCAAGTCCGCTAAGACATTGAGAACGTCAGACGGTCAATGCACTGGAGATCGACACTACATGGTAATATATCTAAAGAACATCTAGCTGGCCCTGAACCCATGCCTCAACTTCATGTAAGTGAAGTTGTTGCAAGTGAATGTAAACTTTATTGTAAGATAAGAATAAAGCAGTTTCAAGTCATTTTGCAAGCTGTTACATTTGGGAACTTGAACCCTCCTCACAAATGTCTGATCCAGCCCGAATGATTCAAATTTCAAACCTTCGTTTCCCGACCGAACGACTCACTGGACTCAGCGCGGACGATGCCGCGCTTGCAGAACAGTCGCCAGCCGGCGGTGACTCGGATCTCTCCGTCGACCTCGCAGGCCATCGGCTCGCCGGGAGTACCGTTCAGACAGCCCTTCTCGGTGCACTGGTACTGGCCGCCCACTGTGCACGTGCACCGGTTCTGGCACTGGTCGATGAACGCCAGCCCGTGACGACATGGCACTGGAACAGTAGTGAAAGGCACGCGAAAAGGAGAGGGAATGTATGCTGGACCCAACAGGGATAGGGCGAAATTTTAGCGTGGTTATAGTCCCATCCGTCCTGGGTGATGCATGATATGTGTAGATCATTGAATGTCAAATTTTCAGATCGGTCTTTTGCTCTTCAGCATGGTCGGAAGTAACATGTCTCTCATTATCGCTTTGAATGGTAGGAACAAATTGCTAACTTTGGAATTTTTGTCCATACTAATCATGTAACTGATAAAACATTATTTCTAACATATAAAAAGCATCGGTCGGTATTCAGATTTTTTTTTAATCATTTCACTTTAAAATAAGCTCAAAAGGGTTCATTTTTTTGCTGCAACAAACATTTTCAGACGATGTACCGTGGTCAAAAGCCTGTGTATTTTGTGTGTGTGCGGTGTGGTGGCGCTTATCTAAGTATATACGAGAAGGCGCATAATATACCTAGATATAGCACACTTTTTACTGGTGACAAAACTGAAATGATGATGCTCTTCTTGCAAGTATACGAGTACATGTCTTAACCCGCGCCCCGTAGGACTACCGGTGGACCCTACCACCCGTAGGGGGGGGGGGGCGTTTCGGCCCCCCTAAGATCTCGAAAATTCACCGGCCGATTTTCAAAATTCAAACGGCGTTCGATAGCTTCACCCGGGAACTACCTTGTGTCCAAATTTAATTGACCTAGGTCAAATCGATGACGTCACAGGTCAGGTCACAGAGGTCAGGTCACTGGGGGTCACCTGGGGGTCACAATATGAAAGTGTCGTGTGATGCATGTTTTATGGTCCATTTTACATGACAAATGCGATTATGTGGGTCAGGCAGCCTTTGGGGCCAGCTTAGGTCACGTTTTGGTGAAGGTCAGGTCAAGGTCAGGTCAAATTAGGTCAAATTTCAAAGTTGATATTTTTGCATAAAATGGGTATCGATTCGACGCAGCTCTCCACGGGGAGTCTAATGGTGGTCTTTTTTGTTTGCTCTACGTGGTCTAGAATTGCCAAAAATTGAGTTTGAAAATTTGACGTCATCATTTTTGAACAGTTTTTTTTGCTATAACTTGGCCAAAAAACAAGATATTGATCTGAAATTTGGTATGTAGATAGAAGACGGTAGGTACTATCACATATATTCCGTTTTTTTAACTCAAATTTTTTTTGGATTTTTTGGCAATTATATCCAAAAAATGCTTTTTTTGATTTTAGGGGGTAAAAACGAAAAAAAAAATTCAAAAATCCGAGATCGCAGTTTTGTAGCCCTGTCAATTCTACACCTTTTATGTCGGATCATTTTTCTGTATCTTCAAAGCTGTAGGCCTGACAGCTCTTCTCGCGAAGGTCTTTTTTTCGGTCGAAAATGGCAGAACATGACGTCATTCTGACGTCATTTGTGGCCAACCTATCATAGCCTCTGGAAGAATTTTTGGTCACAATGTGTAAAATTGATGTCCGGAGGGGTCCTGAAAGTTTGGTGGCGATATCTCCAGCCGTTTAGGAGATATCGACGGAAAGGGACAGGGGTGCCGTTTCGGCCCCCCCCCCCTACGGGGCGCGGGTGGGGTTTTTCTCAGCCGATAAGGCCGTTTCTGTGATCGTTAGATACTCTGAATATATATGTAAATGGACAAAGGGCGATGTCTGCAAATGGTGATTGACCCGATCACGTAAACAGTCAACGCGGGGGTGAGAGTATGCAGACGCATCTCTGGCGGACTCTGTTTGGGGTTCTGGCGCACTGTTTGCGTGGTGAACGCTCCTCGCCAGCTGCATAGCGGTCTGCTAGTGATCGGTGGACCACTGGGTGATGAAAGATCACCTACAGTGGCTGACAGTTAACCTAAAATGGTCCAAAATTCCTCGCCTGATGAGGGGGCAAACCATTTCATCTGAATATTCATCAGTAGTTATTCGATGTGGGCGAATATCTGAGAAGATTTTAGCATTCTCAGCCAAACGCATATTCGAAAAGTAAATCATGTATGAAATATCATGCTTAAAGTTACACCAAAGCACAGCTCATCACCATTACATACATTACAAATATTGTTAGAATTCACTATTATTCATTGAGAGGTATCCATTACAAGTACGCTAATCCTAGCCAGCAGTTATTCCGACGTTCATCCTTGACCATATCATTTTTAAACGTGAGCTCCAAACAAATGAGATTGCTGAACTATTGCATGTGGTGCGTCGGCGCACAGTGCATACCTAATAATCCTTTTTCCTGTGTTCTCGGTGCATAGTGAAGTCGAGTATTTAGATCTTTCAGAGATATTTTTCAATGAAGCTTTGGTCAGAGCCACCAAAATCAATTGACCGGTCTCTCTTGCATTTCACAATCCATGTGACGGCCAGCTGGCAGCCATCAAAGGAGGACACGTTGTCCGGCTCCTCCCCCTACCGTTTTTCGTCAAAAACTTCTAAACATGTTAGCCCTCGCCGGACCTATTGGTTTTCTACACACGTGCCGGCCGAGGGAGGGGGGGGGGGGCGACCCCACCTTCGCCATTTGGCCCTTAGTGGAGCTAGTGCGTCGCGGAAAAAAACGAGTGCCGCTACGAGACACAGCGATTGATACCCGATTTTAACCCTCGCCCGTATAGGGGGGGGGGTCGAACGGACCCCCCCATGGTTTTTCGCGAATAACTCGCGTAAAAAGCGGCCGATCGCGACGAAACTTTCAGTACTCTCGCGTTAATCAACTTTACACCTACCCTGAAAATTTCATGACCCTGACCCCAATGACCTTTGACCTGTGACCTACTTTTCGAGACCATGTTTGGCCGGAATCGCGATTCGGCGTATGTCGGCTCGCATTAGCCGCGCGTTTGCAGTCTTTTCGTGGTTTCAAGCGTTCAAACATGTGATATGATGCTGCCCCCATGCATTAGGGTGGGAATCAAGGTCACCTGAAGGTCAGGTCAGGTCATTGACCTTTGGTGACCTCGGTTCACCTTTTCGAGTTTTACATGTTTCTAGGCCAGTTTTTGGAGCTGAATTCGAATTTAGCAACCATATGAACATTTACGAAGTGGTTTTGGTGCCTTCGTTACATGTTACGAAGCTGTCAGAGGCGGTTGACACCTAGGAATACCCGGCAGGACCCCTACTGGTTGACCTGACCTGACCTGACCCGACCCGGACTAAATGCATAAATACATCATCTGTGATCAAAACTAACATGATATTCGTGATCAGCGCCCCGAAAAACCCCATAGCAGCCACACTTTACGACGTTCTAACAGGTCCCGATTTTCCCGACTTTTGGGTCATTGACCTGACCTGCAAGGTCAACCAATGACCTAGGACCTTAAAATTAGGTATCATCGGCTTCCTCTCGTCACGGGCAACACGCTGGTTTTTCCGCGAAACTCTAGCTCGATCAGGGGCGAAACGGCAAGGGGGGGGGTCCAACGGACCCCCCCCCCCCTTATACGTTCGCGGCTGGAAAAACACCAATACGGGCGAGGGTTAAGGCCCTAGGTCAACCAGTTACCTCTGACCAGATCTGAGTTCAGGTCAAATGCCCCAAGGTCCGGTTCTTTTTTTGTGAATAGCTTCGCAAAAAACGGCCGCAGAGCCGCCATTTTGGCAGCATCGTGTTCGCCTCGCTCAGGCGCATCGAATGCTATGCTTTTTGTTTGGGTGAGGTCAACTTAGGGTATTGACTCCGGGTCATGGTCAGGTCAGTGCCCCCAGGTCACTAAATTGGTCGAAAGGGGTCATGTCGCATATCATTCGATTTGGCAGGTCTTCCTGAGTCCATTGGTGGCTCTTCCGACTCGCTAGCTTAATTTGCTCGGGAGTTATTGACGAAAACTAATATGACCATAATGACGTCATAAATGACGTCACGCAAGATCAACATTTCAAAAGTAACGCATCAAACCTGGCAAGGAGTGCATGAAAGCACGATTCTGTGTGCTTGGGATAGTTGGAGATCGTTCCCGGCGCCAAAATAGCAGTTTTCATTTTCCCCCATTGACTTATAATGGTGAGGTCACGAAAATGAACTGACCTTATATGACGTTTAGGAAAAATACAAAATATACAAGTTGTGAGGCTCGTAATAGGCGTTTTCACGACGGGCTATCCGGCAAATGCACCTGATTTGACCAAGTCAAAACTTGATCTTTTGACTTGAAGTCAAAAGATCCGGCTTGAATCATAGGTCAGGTATGCCGAGGTTCAGCTCTCTATCGCTAGCGTGTTCGGAGCTATCGCAAAAAAAAAACATGGGGGAGGGGTGGCACTACAACATTGTGGATGTTGATGCAAAAACGCGGCCATGTGCCCCGGCGTGGGTTACGCTAAGCTACGGTGCACTTTTAGAAAGACTGAAACAGTTCACAGACACTAACCACTTTCGCCGTTTACATGCGATTGCTAGTTACTTACGAGCTTCTGTAGGCTTTAGTGATGTTTGGTATGCTGAAAGAGACATCAAAAATATATTAGAATATGTGCGGAATGGATTTCATGGCGTCGGACGACAGATACTAGTATTATTGCATTTGCCTTAGCTATTCGCATTTCGCTTGACATTCATTTCGGTGACTCATACGTGCTTCATACTACGGAATTCAAGCATACATAACGTAACAATCAAAATCATTTGAACCGAACTGTTCATTGTGGCATTTTTTCAGCCACCCTTGTCCTCACCTGGCGAGCCAGCTGCGGTGACAGCGACCATCAACAGGCCGGCTGCGGCTACCAGGGCCCGGCCGAAGACCGGCCGGGAGACGCACCGACGTCCCTCCATCGTGTAGGCCCGCGAGACACGGGACTGCAGTGGGCGGCTGGAGGTGCACCCCTAAATACCCCCTCCCCGCGCCCCCCGACGGCGGCGGCGGGGGGGGGGGGGTGCAGCGGACGGTCCGGGAGGCGTGGGCGCAGAGTCAGTCCAGAGCAGGACAGTCCGCAGACGTCATTCAAAGTGGTGATGACGTCATTGCAATGCATCGGTGTGGTGGAAAAGCCTTTTTGATACTACATTTTGGTGCTTTTGGACTTTGTAATATGCAATAGCTATGGAAAAGAGGAGCTACGTATGATCTTCAACAATGTATCAATGAATGAAGAATGCCAGCAAATCGGTGCTATTTTGAGTCGTCTGGAGGTAACGACAAATGAATGTTTTCTTGGAAGCAAAACATTGGAGCAAGTGTTTCGTCTCCGATTGCAGTTTGCATGAAAGTTAACCCGCGCCCCGTAGGGGCCCCTCCTGTCCTTTTCCGTCGATATCTCCTAAGCGGCTGAAGATATAGCCACCAAACTTTCAAGACCCCTCCTCTGGGCCTCAATTTTACACATAGTGACCAAACATTTTCCAGAGGCTATGATAGGTTGGCTTTAAATGACGTCAGAATGACGTCATGTTCTGCCATTTTAGACCGACTGCATACCAAATTTCAGATCGATCTCTCGTTTTTTAACCAAGTTATAGCGAAAAAAAAACTGTTTACAAATGATGTCAAATTTTTAACACGCGCAGTGGAAGGGGGGGGGGCGGATTCCGCCCACCCCTCCTGTTTTTCGCCAATAACTCGCGCCGCAAGCATGATATTAATGTGAAATTTTGGCTACCTGTCCAGAATTGAACTGCAGATCTTCTCGTGCAAGAAATAAGAAAATCGGGTCACAACTTTTCTTGTAATAACGGTGTAGCGGCGGCGCGGCGGCCGGCGCTAGCCGTTACGCGCCGCCTGAATTGTAGACTGTGCCGGGGTGGGACGGTTCCGTCTTTACATCGCGCTCCTTACCGCTGATTATATTCGATTCGCGCCAAATTTTGTGAGAAGACTAAGAAATGTACAGGCAATCTCATGGTCAAATAATTTTGAAAATCGGCCGGTAACAACTTGAGTTATGAGTATGTAAACACAAACTTGTGATTGCCGCGTTTCCCGCGTCGGCCGATCCCGCTTCAGCCGGCGACATCTTACCCTTAGCAGGCTTCTAACTGCCATATTCATTGTTGGATTAACTAGAAATTCACCATACATACTCACAAATGTTTGGTCTTTTGTATAGTGAAAGAAAAAAGAAAATCAGCCGGTAACTTTTTGAGTTATCGGCGTGTAAACGCAAAAAAGTCGCAAATATGGCAGATTTGACCACATTTGACGTCATTTCACCTTGAAGATATTGAACTAGGGTCATGAAATTCACACACAACAGAGTTTCCCATGGCCCCCACCTACCCTCCAAATTTCATCTTGCTAGCTCCAGTGGGAGCTGAGATCTTAGGGAGGGGGCGACATCCGCCCCCCCCCCCTCGACTTGCACTGGGCGACGGGCGTAGTACTCGCGACCCTTCCACTGCGCGTGTTAAACTTAATTTTTGGCAATTTTAGACCACGTAGGGCAAAACGAAGACCACCATTAGACTCCCAGTGACGAGCTGCATCGAATCGATAACCATTTTATGCAAAAATATCAACTTTGAAATTTGACCTAGTTTGCCCTGACCTTGACCTGACCTTGACATGACCTTGACCTGACCTTGACCTGACCTTGACCTGACCTTCACCAAAACATAATCTGAACTGACCCCAAGGACTGCCCTGCCTGTCCCATAGAATCGCATTTGGCATATAAAATGGACCATAAAACATGCATCACATGATATTTTTAATTTGTGACCCTCAGTGACCTGACCTCTGTGACCTGACCTGGTATCAGTGACCTCAAATAGCAAAATATATGTTTGGCGAACATTTCCCCATCGATAATTTTCAATGAAATGCATTTTACTCGATTTTACAACGCATTTCTTGAAATGCCTGTAAACGGTGAAAATTCGACCTTTGACCTGACCTGTGACGTCATCGGTTTGACCTAGGACAATGAAATTCAGTCGCAAGGTAGTTCCCCATTGGGGCTATCCAACGCCGTTTGCCGCTTGTCGCTATGTTGCGTGGTTCTCGAGATCTTAGGGGGGGGGGGGCAAAATGCCCCCCCCCCATCAGACCGCGTTGCTCGGCAGACCCCATCAGGGCGCGGGTTAATAGAAACGATAATTTCATAGTATAACTTTTGAAGAGGGAAAATATCTGCAATACCTAGTTCCTTTCCATACTACAATCAACAATTTTGTCATTGCACCAACCAAAGAACAGATGTATGAATTTATCCTTTTTTTGCACTGATGTGCCCCACTCTCCCCTATGCCATCAGAAATGGTACCGGTTTACCCCGGACCATGCTGCAGGAAGGGTACCGATGGACCCGTGACCATTCCAACAGAAAGGACCCCGGTTGACCCGAGACCTAAACATTGGGAGCCGTTGGATTCCTGTCGTAAAGAGCGGCAAGCGTATTTTCTGTGAAACCATACCTCTTTTATGGCTAAACGCTAGGAAGTCGGTCTAACTCCTCCTTTCCCTTCCCTATCCTTCTTATTCCGTCAAAGGGGAAAAAGTAAATGCCAGCGATGACATTGGTGATGAAGCAATACTGGTGATGAGGAGCACGGAGCCGAAACTTCATGATGAAACAAGGCAAATACAAGCAGCTCATTTATTCGACAGTGATAGTTATGGAACCATGCAAAGCGCAAGCATCCGAGCATAGCTACATTTTGCAGGTATTTATCATGGTCTGATGTTACTGTATGAACACCTAAAACACGTCCAGGCTGACCCGTGGGATGGCCGCCGCGGTACAAAGCGTCATCTTGTTGTGCGCACTGATGGGCTCGAGCACGAGTGGCAGCACACCATCCCGTCCACCGGGCTGGTTGTCGCAGAGAAGGCGAGCCAGACTGGCCTTCTGCACCTCGGCCAACTGAGCGCCACTCAGTGCGCGGTCGTAGAAGAACCGGTCACCATCGCGCGCCCTGCGGAACTGCTCTTCAATGATACATTGGAAGGCGGGCCCCACCCTGGCGGCCGGCGCCCGGCCCTCCAGCACGCCGCCCACCCAGAGGTCGATATCTCGCGGACTGCCGTAGACGGACTGCAGGGCACCCAGCTCTGGCTGCGGCACCACGCCCTCCAGGTCGGTCCAGACGCTGACGTTGGTGCCCGTGCACAGCTCGCGCACGTCAGCGAACGTCGGCAGACCCAGCTCCCTGCCGCGCAGCACGTGCGCTGCCGCCTCCTCGGCCGGCTCAGAGTTCGTCTGTCCGCCGCCGCCGTTCCTCAGCCGTCTGCTAAAGCCAGATGCTGCGGCCAGACCCTGCACCGCGTCCAGGAAAGAGCGCCTCCTGCTCTTACTGTCCTCGCGTTCGGCCGGAGCTGTCGCAGCGGAGCGTTGCCAGAACCTGAAGGCTGCGGCTGCAAACTCAACATTCACTGTGGGGTCGTCATCGAGACTGGTCGCTATGGACAGACGCTGGCCTGCCGCGGCGCCCAGCACGTGCGGCAGATACTCGCGGTAGATGATGTGCTGCCACTCGGCGATAACCACGCGGCGAGCCAGCTGGAAGATGCGCTCGTCCTCCCAGTCGCGATGGTTGCGCCGGACCGCGTCAGCCACCCGGTTGTGCTCACGGAGAAGGATCTGGTGAAGCTGATCGGACGACACCTCGAGGGTGTGGCGCTGAGCGGGGAGACGTCGCGGGCGGAACAGCGACGCCGAGCCGCGGTAGCTGCCGCGCGGCGAGCTCCAACTGGTCTGAGGAGCGCCATAGTGGCTGGAGGGAGGTGGTGGCGGAGCGCCATAATCTGGGGAGGGCGGTGCAGAATAAGATGGATGCGGAGCTCCGTATTGGCTGGACGGTTTGTCCACGTATATGTACTTTACGATGCCAGGCGGTCCCGCAGGGCCTCTTTCGCCCTTCATGCCAGGACTGCCAGTGTCACCTTTAGAGCCCTTAGGCCCAGCTGGTCCCTGCGGGCCATCATTTCCCATCTTTCCCTTATCACCCTTTTCTCCCTGACTCCCCTTTTCACCACGATCTCCTTTCATTCCTTGATCTCCCTTGGGTCCCATCATTCCTTTCATTCCTTGGTCGCCCTTTGCTCCTTGATCCCCTTTCATGCCATCATCTCCTTTTGGGCCCTTAGGTCCCGTATCTCCCTTCATTCCATCTGGACCTTGATCACCCTTCATTCCCTTAGCTCCATCATTGCCCTTCATTCCAACATCTCCTTTATCTCCCTTAGGACCAGTGTCTCCCTTTTGCCCCGTCGGCCCTGGACCCCCTTTCATGCCCTTCGCTCCTTTCATTCCATCTTGACCTGTATCTCCTTTTTGACCCGGTTCGCCTGGGGCGCCTGGCTGACCTTGCGGACCTCGTCTACCCCGCGGTCCCTCTGGTCCCTCGTCCCCTCTGCTGCCCTTCGGACCTACCTCGCCTTTCATGCCTGGTGGACCTTTCATACCCTTCATGCCTGGTTGTCCCGGCATGCCTTTTTGTCCTGGAAGTCCGGGCTTTCCAGGTGGCCCCTCCACACCTTTCATGCCCGGTGGCCCTTCAGCGCCCTTTTGGCCCGGTGTTCCTTTCATTCCGTCCATACCTGGGTCTCCTTTCATGCCCTTCATTCCTGGAAACCCGTCCTTTCCCTTCATTCCCGGTGGACCCTGCATTCCTTTCATACCGGGTAGGCCTTTCATCCCTGGCCCTCCCTTGGGTCCTGGTGTACCCGGTTCGCCTCGGTCTCCTTTCATACCCGGCATGCCCTTATCACCTTTGTTTCCCTTCGGGCGCTTTGTAGTCAAACTTCTTACGTCGTCGCCACCAGTGATCCCCTCAGAGCCTGACTGGGAAGCCCTAAACGAGAACTGGTTCTGCTCAGCGCTCCTTGACGGAGTGATGTAGCTTCCAGGCGGCGGGCTGAGCTCGGCCTGCGCAGACCTGCGCAGCCTCAGGTGCTCTTCAGAACCCGCAAACAGATCATTGTCCAGGGAGAGCTCGCGCTGCTGCTGCTGGCGCCCGCGGTCGGCCCTCAGCCTGCCACCCTGGAAGGTGCGCAGTCGTCGCCCAGCGGCGGCAGAACCTCCGTACACCATCTCCAGATCCAGGTAGGCTGAGGCCTCCGAAAGCGGCGCCGCAGGCCGCATCACGCAGTCGAGCGGCTGCGCCGGCAGCAAGCGCACAAAGTTGACGCAGCTGGTGTCCATGTGCAGCGGCAGACAGGCCGGGTGGTGCTCCGTGCAGCAGTCGGGCTCGCGGCCGTCCTCCAGCCGGAATGGTGCCGTGCGGGCCAGGTCCAGTCCGATGAACTCGGAGAGCGTGGACGCCCACCGACTGAGCGGCTCGGCCAGAGGCTGGTGCGCCACCAGAGAGCCCACCAGTGCCGCCGGCGGCAGCGGCGAGCCGTCTGACGCCAGTGAACGGGGCTCGAAGAACAGGTGGTCCTCGTAGGTGGCGCCGGTCAGCCGTCCCAGTCCCGTCAGCGCTCGGCCGAGGAACGGGCTCTGACGGAACAGTGGTCGTCTATCCGTTAGCGGAGTTCATTGATAGTGATAGGAACAACTGATTGTGCTGGATATCGGTAAATTATTGCTAAAACACACAGGAGGGCTGAAGTTTCACGTCTTTGAGGGTCAGTTTATCAAATCAGATTTTACATAACATGCATATAACTATTTACATAGGCCATTGCATCAATAAATATGAAGCTTTACATATGATGTATAATCCAATTCCAAGTGTCACGGCGAGGTACGGTCCCGCCACTCACCTCCGGGTGGTTGCAGTCTCCACTCAGGGATCGGTTCTCTGCGCCAACGTCCCCGCACGGTACGTCCAGCTCCGGGCTCTCACAGCCGGGCAGCAGCATCGCTGACTGGTCGCCGACCGCCGTGATGTCAGACTGCACAGCGCTGTCGGTCAAACCAGGAATGAACGCTAGGTTTACCTTGCATCATCGCAGTGCACGTTAGTTATTTCAAACTGCATGTAAATAGCTGCCGTTTCATGTGGTATAGGAACGTATACAAAACTCAGGTTTATCGCGGAGAACACTCACAGCCTACTCTGGTTGTTGATCGCCTGGATGGTGAGGAACCGCTCCAGACCCAGTCTGCCGAGCTGCTGCATCAGCATGGAGTCCTCATCGGAGCCTTCTGGCAGCGGGTCCATCATGTCTGCCTGCTCGGCGCCCGGCCGGTGCAGCACGGCCGCCAGCCGCTCCTCCAGCTCGGCCAGTGCGTCCAGGTGCTGCGTGGCCTGCCACTGTGCCTCCCGCAGGTTCACCGCCTCGGCAGGCGGCGCCAGTAGCGTGCTCCGGCGGCCGGACAGAGGGCGCACCGCGGCCGGCGTTGGTGGCGCCCTCACTGGACAGCGGACACCGTCCGAACCATCCGGTAGAGGGCAGCTCAGCTGAGAGTCCGAGTCGACCGGCTGGCACAGGACCGGCGCCCGGCAGACGCTGGTGGAGGTCAGACCAGGTCAGAGGCCAGGTGGAAGGGTTGACATTATATCAGCGGACACATGACGGCATTGAACAGTATCAGTGGCAGCTGGAATTAGTGGTGGGCTCAATTCTACAGTCTGGTGCTCTTAGAAGAAAGATCACATTCATTCCTCTATACGCCGAAATCTCGCCAAAAATTTGAGCAGTGCGATTACCTGTTGAGGCGATCACCATCTTCGCAGCACACTCCCTCCTGGCCCGAGGGTAGCGTGCAGTTGGTACGGATGCCTCCAGAAGACAGCGGTGTCGAGCACTGGCCGGGCGTCACACAGCTGGCGCACTGGGGTGACAGGGAATCCACCTGTCCCCAGCAGGAGGCCACCAGCAGCTAGCAGAGACGGGGAAAGCTAGATCAAGCACATCAACGCACCACCAAGGAAAGAAAACCAGCCCACAGGCCGGGCGTATGACAGTGTATATCAGCTAGGAAAGCCTTTCTTAGTAACATGAAATGCCACCTGCATAGTGAGCCCTCCACAGGTTATAACGAGAGGCGGAAAATATTGCACCAATTCTTCGCCCTCCTTGCCGGCGAGGAGGGGCTCATGTAGGTCTCATGAAAAGCCTGATTTCACCCGATGCCTAGCGACATATTTAAGCTGCACCACTGATATCTTTTGTTTTATCGATTTCTCGGAACACGCCATAGGGACATAAAAATTGGACGAAAAGCTCCTACTGCATATCAGTCACTGCCTCTCCTACTGTCAAACATGGTTGTACTATTTCACGAGCTTATATATGGTTTGAATGGAGGCGAAACTGTGAGAGTAGTCATAACGTCTCGCTCGGGAGTCGGGACGTAAGAAGAAAACCGATAGGACCAACAGGCAACAACATTCACAGCTGGTAAAATTTGGTAGCTTTCTCAAAACATTCCTAGCCAATTTGTTTAAAAAAAAAAAATAGACGGCTATATTGCGCAGAATGGCTTCCAGCTTCCCGATGTCTCTGACGGGGCAGTTAACCCGCGCCCCACTGGTCTGTGTATAACACGCCCCTCGGGGGGGGGGGGCCCTCCTAACTCTGAAACTACTGGGTAGATCGTCAAAATTCAAACTGCATCTGATAGCCCCGGAAAAACTGTCATGCGAAAACCTAATTTCATTGACCTCGAGGTCACCGATGACGTCACAGATCAGGTCAAATTAAAATTATCGATATTTGGCTTGCCTCACTTTTTGGGCTCTGGCTGCCGTTTTACAAGTCAGATCCGGCTGATTTTTGGTTTACACACTCGTGAACAGATGCTTAAGATACCCTAAGGGTACCAAACTTGTACTTTGATTTTCAGGTCAGGGTCAGGTCATCATAGGTCACGGAAATCTTATGTCATAAGTTGGTCACGTGACACATGTTTTATGGTCCATTTAGGTCAAAGATTTCGAATTCGGTGTTGCCTGTGTCATTTGAGGCCATTTTCATCTGAATATAGCTGAGGTCAGGTCACTTTCAGGTAAAAAAGGTCAAATTTCAAAGTTGAATTGTTTTTTGATTTTTTTTTAATTTTGAAAGCTTCAAAGCGATCGGTCACTCGGTGTAGCTATGACAGACATTGAAACTTTTTATGAGGTGAGGTCACTTCAAGTGACCTGGTGACCTGACCTTGTATGACCTCGGTCTGAAATTTTCACAACATGTGTAGAATTGATGTATGATAAGGTGTACCAAACACGGCGGCGCGGAGCGCCGCCGTTTTTTGAGATATTCGCGAAAAACCACAAGGGGGGTGTTCAAACACCCCCCAGCACGGCGCGGGTTAACAGTCGGGTTTGCTCGATTATAATGATGTAGCGCTCATTGCAAAAGCTGCAATATGCACACAATATACACTTGATTGCTATATCAATGCTGCGTCATAATTGTTAAATTCTTACCAATTATGTAAAGCCCCACTGTATATTTTGTCAGGGCACTTCATGGTAGTGCGCATTGATCTCAGGCAGTTGGACAAGATATCCCGCATTTCATGTAGATAATGAAAAATAAGCTGATACAATCTTTTCATTCACTGCAGAAATGCAATAAACCAATAGATGTTCACGTCCATCAGATATCGATCGACAAAAACGCACCAGTAACGAGATGTCGCAGACGGATTGTATCCTCAGGTTATAGTTTTATTGTACATGGATGATGAACGACTGGCCTCGGTAATCCGCGCTCACTGAAACTCCCGTTATCCGTCAATCAGATAAGTGCCGGGCGCTGTGGGATATGGCAGCGGCCCTGCGGCGGCGCGCTCGGCTCTGTCCGGCGGCCATTGCTGCACTAATCTCGGCTCACTGACTGCCGAATACCCCCGGCACCGACTTCGCCGTGCTACCCCAGAAAATGAGACCATCCTGTGCGTCTGACATGGCAGACCTTCGTCAGCATTAGAACGAATAGCGGACATGTCTACAATTTTCTGACGTCGATAAATACTTCAGTTGGTAGACGGCTGTTGGTTGAAGCTATCGGCAATTTTATTAACGGGATTCGCTTGACACAGGTATGTGGAATTGCGAATTCATCCACGTTTTTGCCTTTTCCAGCTTTTCTTTGGTTCCAAACCTAAGAGACCCATGACCTGAATTTCAAGGCTCCCAATGAAACACGCATTTCAAGCGAATCAAGGAACTCCACGACTGACATCGGCATTCTTTACCTGCGTGCCGATTTTGAATTGTCTGCATTGGCTGAGAGCCTCGTGTGATAATATTATGGGTTTGAATTACCCTCATACATGTAAATTGTACGTCTTCCATGTTGTACGCATCCTCATAGATAGTGATCCTATATGTTTTGATACGATCTCTATGAGCATTCTTTATAAAACATCAGGAAGCTACACAATTAAAATTCAAATTAAAAAAACAAATGCAAGAAACAAACCCGAAGTCTGATAATAAATAACATTCATTTTTTCTCAAATGTAGTCAAAAGTAAAAAGGCAACGGTTTCTATGATACGATCAAATGGGATGATTGATGCCATGATTTGAGAATGAGCTCTGCCTGTAAATGCTATACCTTTTCTATTGAAATTTTACATTTCCTTTACCACCACCCAGCATCAGGTGACCTCATCAGGTGATCAGAAGTGCATGCTCTTTCTCTGTCCCAGCTGCACCCTTAAATTGAACAGCAACCTTTTCTACCTTTACATTGAAGTCGCGTCTCTCCCTGCTAGAAAATGGAAGGAATACAACTTACAAGTAAAGGGGGAAAAGCCACGCATAGATTTTAGTGATAACGAACAAGAAGCAAAGTAGAAAAAACACTGAAATCAATTGAGGCTTCTGCAACCAACCCACCACCCGAAACGAGACGACTGTTTCAAGGTATCCCATTCAAATTTCTTAACCCGCGCCCTGCTGGGGGGGGGGTGTTTGAACACCCCCCTTGTGGTTTTTCGCGAATATCTCAAAAACGGCGGCGCGGAGCGCCGCCGTTTTTGGTACACCTTATCATACATCAATTCTACACATGGTGTTAAAATTTCAGACCAAGGTCATTCAAGGTCAGGTCACCAGGTCACTTGAAGTGACCTCACCTCATAAAAACTTTCAATGTCTGTCATAGCTACACCGAGTGACCGATCGCTTTGAAACTTTCAGCGATTGCTAAGAGCAATAGCATGTACAAAATGTATATCTCAGAAGTTTGATATCGATGACCTAAGGTCAGGTCAATTTTGCGACCTCCCCATTATAAGTCAATGGGAGAAAATTGAAATGCGCCTCTTTTGGATGAAAGACATTATAAACACTCCCAAACACCGAATTACAAGTGGTTTAGACACACTGAACTTGAAAATGGTGTCCGTGACCCTTGTTTATGCCCTGAGGTCATCTTAGGTCACGAATGGTATCTAACAGTTTTTCGCAAATAACTTTTGATAGAGGCATGCTAGACCGATGAAAACGCCTTAGATGTGTTCAGCTCGACGATACGGATCGACTGATATGCAACATGACCCTTTCCGGTCAGGTCATGACCTTGACCTGAGGTCAAATTCTCAAGTTGACCTTTCAAGGTCAAGTCATAGTTCATTCGATGCGTCTTGACGAGAGAGACACGATGCCGGTAAAAGTAAGCTCGTTCAAGGCCTGGGTCAAAAGTTATTGCAGAAAAACTGTTTTCGGAAAAAATCGGCTATTTTTGCAGTTTTTGCCCCCTGCAGGCAAAACCGTTGACGTTAGGTCAAATCTGAGAGAATTACTCAGAAAGGGTGTTAATAGGCCGCTGTCGAATGCGTTTTTCCGCGGCGCTGTAGCTCTATTGGTTCCCGAGTTATGCGTTGGCTTCTTGGAAATTTTCGACATTCGACCTGGAAATCGGCGAAATTTTGCCTTCAATGACCTCTGGTGACCTGACCTTTGACCTGACCAAAAAATTGACCGAAGTGATTTCGTCATTATTTGTTACGTTCTTTCGAACGCCGCCTTCCGCGTATCGCTACGTGGCCCAGGAGCCGAGTTACAAGGGGGGGGGGGTGTTCAAACACCCCCCCCCCCCCAGCAGGGCGTGGAAATCCAGGACCCCCAGCAGGGCGCGGGTTAATGATGATGCGGAAGTGTTTATCTTAATTTGGCTTGCAATACTTAGTGTAATAAGTGTTTTCTAGGATTGCAAAACATGCCGATTGGTCTATTGGCTTTATAAAATGCAGAAAAACGAGATAACTCTGTGGAACCCCTCCCGTCATGTGCGCGGGGTTTCCAAACATCGTTAACCGTGATGTAACGTTGTTCTTTGGACCAGAAAGTTAGGCAGCTGTCAATGTACATTTTGCTTGCTATATGTTTCTAGATAAGTTTAGATTGATCTTAGGTCGCTTAACCCGCGCATGACTGGGGGCTCTACAGAGCCCCTCCCCCTTCCGTTTTCAGCAATATCGTCGAACTAAACCGTTTGACGGATCAACACAAAACTTGCGGTACCCTCAACGACATCCATTTGACACCTTGTGTTAACCCTCGCATGTGTAGGGGGGGGGGTCGGATGGACCCCCCATGGTTTTTCGCGAATAACTCGCGTAAAAAGCGGCCGATCGCGACGAAACTTTCAGTACCCTCGCATTGATCAATTTTACACCTACCCTGAAAATTTCAGGACCCTGACCCAAATGACCTTTGACCTGTGACCTCTTTTCCGAGACCATGTTTGGCCGGAATCGCGATTTCGCGTATGTCGGCTCGCACTAGCCGCGTGTTTGCAAGCTTTTCGTGGTTTCAAACGTTCAAACATGTTATTTGATGTTACTCCCGTGTGTGTCAAGGTCACCTGAAGGTCAGGTCAGGTCATTGACCTTTGGTGACCTCGGGTGACCTCGGGTCACTTTTTCGAGTTTTACATGTTTCTAGGCTAGTTTTTGGAGCTGAATTCGAATTTAGCAACCATTTGAACATTTACGAAGTAGTTTTGGTGACTTCGTAACATGTTACGAAGCTGTCAGAGGTGGTTGACACGTACTACGAATACCCGTCACGACGCCTACTGGTTGACCTGACCTGACCTGACCCGACCTGGTCTAAATGCTTCAAGACATCATCTGTGATCAAAACTAACACGATATTCGTGATCAGCACCCCGAAAAACCCCTTAGCAGCCACACTTTACGACTTTCTAAAAGGTCCCGATTTTCCCGACTTTGGGTCATTGACCTGACCTGGAAGGTCAACCAATGACCTAGGACCTTAAAATTGGGTATCATCGGCTTCCTCTCGTCACGGGCAACACGCTCGTTTTTTCCGCGAAGCTCTAGCTCGATCAGGGGCCAAACGGCAAGGGGGGGGGGGGTCCAACCGACCCCCCCCTACACATTAGAAGCTGGCAAACGCCGCACACATGCGAGGGTTAACCCGCGCACCGACGGGGGTCTGCGCCAACTTCGCACCGACCGGGGGGGGGGGGGCGGATGACCGCCCCCCGTGAGATCTCGAGAACGAAGCAAGATAGCGACAAGCGGTAAACGGCATCGGATACGCACGGTCAAGATCTACGATTTTTACCAAAGTCATTTTCAGGTCCGGGCAAAGATGACGTCACAGGGGTCGAAAAAGTCAAAATGGCGGCGCCAGATATGGAAAGAGTTTTTCTCGAATAAATTTCGAATTAGTCAAGATAGGAACAAACTAAGGGCATCATCGTGATCCTCTCGTCCATCCGCATCGAATGATATATATGTTGACCTCGAAAGGTCAAGGTCAAAGGTTGACCTCAGGTCACGTGACCTCGAGGTCATCATGTATATCATTCGATGCGTCTTGACGAGCTGAACACAATGAGACCACCCACGCGGCTGTATCTTGTTCCTGTACGGAGTTATTGGCCAAAAACCTTTGTGACCTTTGATGACGTCACATGACCTCACAGCTGTCCAACAGCAAAACAGACCTCAAGGTAGTGTCGGTTGATCGTATATGAAGTCATGTATGGTATATGTGGCCATTCCGACCCGTTTTAGTGGTAAAAACAGGGAGTTGATTTTTCCCCCATTGACTTATAATGGGGAGGTCGCGAAATTGACCTGACCTTAGGTCACCGATATCAAAATTCCGAGATATAAAAATTGTAGCTACTAATGACCTAATAACATCCTGCGACTTTCAAAGGCCTCGGACATCTACTGTAGCTCTGGCACGGTGACAAAGTTGCAAAAAAGTGACTTGAGGTTGGGTCATTCAAAGTGACCTGGTGACCTGACCTTAAATGGTAGGAGGTTCAAACTTGCACACCATGTGTAAAATTGATGAGGGAATAATCATACCAAATTTTGCGGCGCTGTGCGCCGCGGTTTTCCCGCTATTCGCGAAAAACCTCAGGGGGGCGGATATCCGCCCCCCGTCGGTGCGCGGGTTAAAACTTCAACTTTCTAGCTATCATAGTTTGGCCGGTAATGACGTTAGAGTCACGTCATTTCAGCCGATTTTGATGCAAAATATTGAAATACGGCAAACACTCAAGAGCTCTGTTTAAGCTAAATCCCATTTTTTGCATGAATTCACTACAAATACACGTAGCTATCAAACTGCTAACTCGAATTATCGAAAATTAGAAAATTTTGAAAAATATGGATTTACAATTACACAAAAAATGTTTTTTTGATTTTTTTTTTTCAAAAAAAAAGTTTTTGATTTTTCGCAAAAAACGGTAATAATGTGATAGAACACACACTGATAAACTACTCTAGCAAGTTTTAGCCTAATATCTTCAAAAATAGCCAGGTTATTTGCATTATTGTCAAAAGTTAACAGTTACATATTTTTCAAAACTATTGTTCAGTACGTGTTTGACATCGTAGAGCAACATAAATGGCACCATCGTATTTCTGAGCTAAATCTCCATCTGATAGACACCTTATTTGTTGAAAAACTTCATTTTCAAGATTTGACCTTTTCTGACCTGAAAGTGACCTGACCTCCGGTAAATTCAGCTGAAAATGACCTCAAATGACACAGACAACCTTGCTTTCGAAATCTACGAGTAAAATGGACCATGAAACATGCGTCACGTGACCGATACATGATATACAATTTTCATGACCTAGGACGACCTGCCTTGACCTGAAAAATTGGAAGCAAAAGTTTGGTACCCTCAGGGTATCTAAGGCATATATCAAGGAGTGCGTATACCAAAAATGAGCCTGATCGGACTTGTCAGTCGGCGGCCAGAGCCTAAATTGTAAACAAGCAAAAATGCCGATAATTTTTACTTTGACCTGACCTTTGACGTCATCGGTGACCTCAAGGTCAATGAAAATAGGTTTAGTTCGACAGTTTTTCCAGGTCTATCAGAAACCGTTTTAATTTTGACGATCGGCCCAGTAGTTTCGGAGATAGGAGGGAGGGGGGCTCTGGAGAGCCCCCCAGTCACTCGTGTTATTGAAAATACCCCAGTCATGCACGGGTTAAGGTTTTGAAATGGAAGGCCCTGTCGTCATTTTTAAACCATTAGAAAGGAATCATCATGGAGGTTGTGTCAGTACGGAAAAGTGGGGTCTAAGGTAGCCTGTAACATAAAAAGCTACAACTCAATCAGATACCTACATATATCACCATCAGTTCATTTATCAGGAGAGGCCTAACTGGAAAAAATCGTTGGTTTCCATGTCTTTTATATGGATATTACAAGACTTTTATGTTTTACACAAGCCGAATAAAGAAATCTAGAAATCTAGTAGCGCTGTATAGTGTACCTACTGGCCACTGGGCACAATTTTCATGGTGGAACACTACAAATTTCAGCATTAGCGCTTGAAAACAAATGGTCCATAATCCATATTCTTGCATTGGCATGGCATTTCTCCCTGTTCTCCTAACTGCTTTCTACCGTCGTGTTTCGAAATCCCGCTCTTGGGCACTTCAACTGTCGACTTTGACACTGCACAAACTCTTTTCGTGCTGAGCTGCCCGCGGTGGCCACCACACTCACCGCAGCGATGAAGGCAATCATGGCGCGCACCGCCGCGGTAGCGACGAACATGACGCGGTCCTCCGCGGGGACCGACGAGCTGACAGGGTCGACCGCCACCAGTTCAGTGTGGCTCCGCTATCCCACGGTCGCCATTTATACTCGGCCCGCTGAGACTGATAAAACTGGCGCTAATCCGACCGCGCTGTGTGGATGATTGTCTAATGGTCTGTCCTCACTGTGCAGATCCGTGTACGGTGGGTCACTGTCTGGAGATGATTACCATGATAGCTGGTCACTCCACGACCATATTTCTGCATGGTCATGGATCATATTATTATATTTTCCAGCGCCCCGTCAGCTACACTGTAAACCAAATTGACAAGTCTTGTGTAATATAACCAATCATCTCTTGGTATGTTTACTAACTGATACTTTTTAAACAAGCCGTTGTCTGGTGCATTGCTTGTCAGGTGACGACTACGAGTCAATAGTTACTATGCACACCAACTTCTCAGCATCCAGACCAACTCTACATTTGTTTCAACGTTTGTTTCTTAACCAGTTTTGGAAACCTGTTGCCGCCTAACTTGTACTGGTCAGCTGGTCAGCATACACATGGTCAGCTGCGCCTGACGTCAGACTTGGCGGACCAATCAGTGGTCGCCGCCCGCCGTTAGCGGGCCCCGGCGCGGCGGTTTCAAACCAGCAGTTGTCGCGCGGCCGCCGTGCAGCCTGGAGCAGCGACGAGGGCTGTTCCAGCATTTGTGCAGTAAAAAGTGAAATCTGTGAACTGTGGTTTTCGTGCTATGAGTGAGGCTCCCTCTGGCCTGCGGGACGCACTAATCGTGCCTATACCCGCGGTCGAGACGCCTCCCTTCCCCTGCGCGCGCAATGTAAGTGGGCCAGACCTGTGCAGTGTGCATGCACATGTGAGCAGATGTTTTGCGGTCGGTGTTTTTTTATATTTAAATACATTTATTTGCCTTTAATTCAACTCTTTGTATTTTTAACCTGATGGACATATATGGGCTGTAAAAGCTAATCTGGTTGGCGATCATGATTTATTCGAATTATCAGCGTAATCGTGCAACTGCATGATTGTTATGCTTAATGTTCAGGAAATATTCGTCATACGGGCATGTTACACTTCTGGCTTGATGCGGTGCACAAAACCATGTTCTTCCACATACGCAGCAGTTCTTGCTTCAAAGACTTATATGCTGACGGTGCACGATAGGTATACCTACTGGGTATACCTACCTCATGCATTTACCACATCCATTCGAAAATAGGTATGCACTCGGAATTGTCTCCAGTCAATAGTATTAATTACGTGACCGTAATAAATACTAATGATTCCAGAAACTTCCGAATGGATGTGGTGTATGCATTCATTGATTATATAACCCATCAGTTTTTCGTTTCTTGTCAGCGCAAGCCTTTGAGCAATAACTGATGCCAGTCATGGTTTTGTGCACCACTTGCAGCCAAAAAATAACCTGTCCGTATCGAAAATATTTCCTGATTCAGTATCGTGGTAATTGAAAACGAACGCGAATCGTAAGTTCTTAAGGTTATCAACGCAAACAAAGCGATTGTAAGGAAGAACAAGTTCGAACAGAGCGTTAGTACACTTACTTGTTGACAATTCGTAAGCTAGCAATGCCCAGTCAAAGGCTAGTTCATCAACAAACCAGGGGTTGGTGAACCGACAAGGAAACGACTATGCCTATCCAGAAGTTGGTAGGTCCACAAGGCCCAAACTAGTACTCAACAAGGTGACGCCTATGCGAATTGGAACCAAACTTGTAGACAAACTGTTAGTTTGTTGGCCAACAAGCCTGGGGTTGGTGAATCGACAAGGTATCGACAAGGTGACGCCTATGCGAATTGGAACCAAACTTGTAGACAAACCGTTAGTTTGTTGGCAAACAAGCCTGTGGTTGGTGAATCGACAAGGTATCGACAAGGTGACGCCTATGCGAATTGGAACCAAACTTGTAACAATGAGCCAACTTGTAGATTTGGTTTACAGTGTATCCTTCCACCTACATATGCATCCTCGCTTTGCTTCATACTACAAGTAGTGCACCGACTATTTTCAATCATTGCATTTGTACAGGATACAAATCCGAGAAAGAGCACAACTTTACTTGTAATGGGCATTAGGCATTGGACGGACAGCAAATTATCAGAAATAGATGCCGCTATAAATAATCACAGAGTGTTACAACAATAAAGCCAAATATTGCAGAGTAGCGGCATAAGCCTCATATGTAAACAACACAAATAGGCCAAACACACAAACATCATCAGATAAGATTGACGACAATCACCTATGCCACGTACATAATAAGTTATCGACGACAATTTAACCCTCGCATGTGTGCGGCGTTTGCCAGCTTCTAATGTGTAAGGGGGGGGGGTCGGTTGGAACTTGGAACCCCCCTTGCCGTTTGGCCCCTGATCGAGCTAGAGCTTCACGGAAAAAAACGAGCGTGTTGCCCGTGACGAGAGGAAGTCGATGATATCCAATTTTAATGTCCTAGGTCATTGGTTGACTTTCCAGGTCAGGTCAATGACCCAAAGTCGGGAAAATCGGGACCTGTTAGCAAGTCGTAATGTGTGGCTGCTAAGGGTTTTTTTCGGGGTGCTGATCACGAATATCGTGTTAGTTTTGATCATAGATGATGTCTGCATGCATTTAGACCAGGTCGGGTCAAGTCAGGTCAGGTCAACCAGTAGGGGTCGTGACGGGATTGCGTAGTACGTGTGAACCGCCTCTGACAGCTTCGTAACATGTTACGAAGGCACCAAAACTACTTTGTAAATGTTTAAATGGTTGCTAAATTCGAATTCAGCAAAAAAAAAAAAACTAGCCTAGAAACATGTACAGCTCGAAAAGTGAACCGAGGCCACCAAAGTTCAATGACCTGACCTGACCTTCAGGTGACCTTGACATCTACCCAAATGCATGGGAGCAACATCAATTCTCATGTTTGAGCGTTTGAAACCACGAGAAGCTTGCAAACGCGCGGCTAATGCGAGCCGACATACGCCGAATCGCGATTCCGGCCAAACATGGCCTCGAGAGATAGGTCACAGGTCAAAGGTTACTTGGGTCAGGGTCATGAAATTTTCAGAGTAGGTGTAAAATTGATGAACTCGAGTGTAAAATTGATTAACTCGAGGGTAGTTTCGTTGCGATCGGCCGCTTTTTGCGCGAGTTATTCGCGAAAAACCATGGGGGGTCTATCCGACCCCCCCCCCTACACATGCGAGGGTTAACTTTATAGCAAACTGCAGCATCCACGAAACGCTAAACAGTAAACATACGTAAAAGAAACACTTTATAAATCAAGAATGAGGTTGAGTATCCCAGGATCACTCGGAAAGGATTAGGGGTTGTGAATTGTGATCAGGGGTCAAGGGATCTCCCGGGGAATCGCAAGATTGTCTTGGTCAAATGGTCGCCTGCAAGGGCAGCAGGGTCATTTGCAGGGTTAACAAGTCATCTTTGGGGCTCGCAAGGTCGTCTACGGAAGTTACAAGGCTGCCTGCGGGAACAAAGACTCGCCCGCTAGGGATTGCCTTGGGGAGCTACTGCGTCATCCGCAACAGTTTCGGGTCGCCCACCGGGTCACCGGATCACTCGAGAGGGTGGCAAGGTCACACGCAGGGATTATTGACACCAAGTAGCTGCTCGAAAACCACGACGCCCAGCATCACCCCATTACTTTTACTCATCCTGCCGGGCAGAAGAGTGGCATTGTAGTTTAGCCAAAAATGGCAATCCTTCCAAAAGTCGGCTGTATCCCAATCTCTTCACCAGCTATGAAAAGTCATAGTTTCATCTTCCAAGGTATTGGTCGACGTTTGTTCAATCTTCCCGAATAAGATTGACTATATGTTTGTATCCTCACAAGCGGTGGTCTGATGCGGGTTTATCTTCCCATCAGGAGAGGATGGCTGATGTTCTATTTTCCTAGCTGTGGTCGGTTCTAGATCCGCCTCCTCGGCTATTGTCGGCTTTAGCTCCACCTCTTCTCTTGGATTTACCGGCTTTATATCCGTTTCTCTGCTAGCATTGCCTGACCGAAGTCCCTCCACAACTCTGGTCGAGTGTAATTCTGTCTCCCTTATATCTATGGTCAGCTCTATCTCCGTCGTTTTCTCTATGATCGGCTCTAGATCTGTCTCCCCAGCTGTGGTCGGCTCTGGTTCTGCTCCTCTAGCTGTGGTCCGCTCTAGATCTGTTTCCCCGGATGTGGTCGGGTCTAGATCTGTTTCATGCTACTTGCGTTTACTGGCTGTAGATTCATCTCTCTATTGGTAGTGTTTGACTGAAGTTTTTCAACAACTGTCGCCGAGTGTAGCTCTGTATCCCCAGCAGCTATGGCCGACTGTAGTTCTGTCTCTCCAGCCGCTATGGTCGACTGTAGTTCTGTATCCCCAGCAGCTATGGCCGACTGTAATTCTGTCTCTCCAGCCGCTATGGCCGACTCTAGTTCTGTTTTCCCATCAGCTATGGTTAATTCTGGATTCGTATCATCACCAATAGCTGCTGGCTGTGGTTCTATCTCTGCAGCTATGATGACCCGCGATTCTGCTTCCTCAGCTATGGTCCGCTGTGCTTCTGCATCCAGGGATGTCGTTCCTTGTAATATTGTCTCTTCGTGTGGTGTCAGTTGCAGCGCCGTCTCTTCAACAGCTGCGTCAGACTGCGACTTCATTCTTCCTCCCATTATGTTCAGTTGTAGTTCCATGTCCCCACCACCTACTGCCGGCTGTCGTTCCATCTCCCCACCAGCTACCGCCGGCTGACGTAATATCTCCCCACCAGCTACTGACGGCTGAAGTAATATCTCCCCAACAGCTACTGACGGCTGAAGTAATATCTCCCCAACAGCTACTGACGGCTGTACTTCCCTCCTAGTAAGTTCCGGAGGCAGATTTGTAACATTTCTGGCAGGGGCAGGGGTTTCGGCACAACACAGCAGCTTCTTCAGCTCTGCCAGCATCTCATCGCTAGTGCAGAAGGTCCAGCCGTCAACGATGTGGTAAACGAGTCGCACGAAGCCCATGACACGAAACGAAGCCATCGACTGGTGAACCCCCAGTCCGTAAAGAAGCAGGG